TAGTGATTTTTTTATTAGATCTATATTAAGATGTTAATTTACAAAATGATGATGTTTAAACAAATTTACATAAAATAGTTTTTTTGAAATAAAATGTTATTTATTTGTCATTGAATTTTACTGTTATATTGACCTAAATTTATAAAATGTAAAAAACATTTGGTTGTAGTGTTTGTAGCAATTAACTATTAAACATATTCAGCAATAAGGTTGGTTAATAAAATTTCAAATAATAATTATCATACCAACAATTTTAGTAGTATTTAGAGGAACCTGGAAATTAGGTAAGAAAAGCCAATCTCTCAATCCTTCAACTAATGGTTCTGTCCAGGGATATTCTATAAATGAAGATTTGGAAATATAATTAAATGTATAATGTTAACTACCTTATTTAGAAAATAAATTAAATTCAAAATTTAACAATGCAATAAAAACAGTTTAGTAAACTTATAAAGATTAAAATATACTAAAATCAGATTATTAAATATACTAAATATTAAAATATGCTGGATAATATGGTCTAGATGCAGTATCCAGCACTGTAAAGAATGTGGTCCAAGCATAAAATCATAAGCTTCTCTACAACATTATGATTTTTGAATACTCTCCCATTTATTAAAATTTTAATTACATACAAATTTTTCAACTTGCATAAACTTGTTAAATTTATAACTTACATTTTCTATTTTAATTTATACCGTAGTCATGTCAATGATTAAAATCTTTCAACCTGTTCTATGATTAAAAAAAAAAAAAAAACATAAATAAATTCTGAAAAAAAAAATATTATTATTATTCTACAATACATTTGCTTATTTATGATGGATAGTTTATATGTTTATTTATTCATGATTTTACTTGGAAAATATTTTTATAATTAATATATCCTGAAATATGTGATATCCAAGGCCATTTTTTCTAAGTATTACACAAGGGAGTTAAGAAATTGGATCATTGCACTGAACAATCATTAGTCATACAATATATCAATCAATGTATAGACCAATTATACACTGTGTGGAAAACTGGCAAGCGGTCGAGCCGGATGGATTCAAAATGAGCGGCGTCATAGGGAGGAAATGTCATTTAGGAAATATTGTAATGGCAACAGAACAAAAATTAAATTTTTACCATTAAAATTTTAGATTGCACAATATTAAAATAAAAATTAGACGAAAAAAAATTTCATGCTAACTGTTATACTTTTTTTCTTTCAAAGCAGCTTTATGTCCCATATATCTGACCATCCCCCCAAAACAAGAAATCGATTCGTCCGTTTCCACCGCTTAAACTACATCTCACGATGAATGGTCGGACTATATTAATTAAAAGTAAATAGTCCATTTTTAAAAAGAATAAATAAATTCTAACCTATACACAGTCCAGGAGGTAAACCAAGACATATCAGATATTGTATTGTCATAACAATACATTGATAGGCCACATAAACTGGCCACACTTTTGCCAATGTTTTCCGTTTGAGTAAAAACATTGATGAGAGCCACACTGCCGAGATAAAACCAAAAACGTCCAGTCGCATTCCGCAGGAGACCACAATTGTCACGTAACAAAACTGCAACGATAATACATTATTTGCAATAATGATTTTTTACTTAACAATGACTATTTACAATGATAATGATTATTTACAATGTTAATGATACAATGATTATTTACAATGATAATGAAATAATGATTATTTATAATGATAAAGATAGCAAAAGATTATTTACAATTATTTACAAATAATGATTGCAATGATTATTTACAAAATGATGATTTACAAATAGTGATTGCAATGATTATTTACAAATGATGATTGCAACGATTATTTACAAATAATGATTGCAATGATCATTTACAAATGATGATTGCAACGATTATTTACCAAATAATGATTATGATAATTTACAATGATGATTGCAATGGATTATGATTGATAACAATGGTTATTTAATGGTTAGAATGATTATTTACAATAATAATGATTACAATAATTATTTACAATGATGATGCAATGATTATTTAAAATGATGAATGCAATGATTATTTAAAAATTACGAATGATGATGATTACAATGGTAATGTATTATTTTAATAAAAATTTAGAAATAACTAAATAAACAAGTAAAATATAGTAGTCAAGTATTGAAATATTACCTCAAGGCCAAATTTGTAAAAAAAAATAGTTTGCTAAATATTTTAAACATTCTAGATAGATTATCATCGGCAGTGCTCCTAGTAGCTTCTGGAAATATGATACCTGTTTTAGGTTCAGGTAAATTCAGTTGAATGCGATTTACTTCTTGTCTGATTTTGACAACAGCTTGAATAGTCAAAACTAATATAAGGCCAATGTATCCCTGAAATTAAATATCATATTGGTTAATTAACATATTATTAAATAAAGATAGTTTAGTAATATGTAAAAAATAGGCTATGTCTTACTTTGCAATAGTTAGCTAAGTCTAAAGTTCGTTTGAAACCAATCCAGTCATGGTTGTCAATAGTGGTATTGAATGGAAATGGGAAGTCTGTGGAGGAATTTATAAACATCACAGCCTGAAAAGAATGCAAAACACATTAATCAAAAAGTAAACTAAGCACATACATTAACATTGCATTTAAGAATCGACGTAAAATTACATTGCCAGTTCAATTAATTACTTTTCCTTCATAAGTGCAATACAAATATTCAAATGATAACTTATAAATGCATTAAATAATAAATTTTATTCTTATACGAAATATAGTAACTAACTCCATGCCACTACATCCCATGGTGGTTAAGGCCGCCTGCCTATTGGCAGATTCCGAGGACAGGGAGATGATTTCTTTTTACGGGGTAGGGTTGTCAGACCTAAGCCCTACGCCCCACAGTCATGGTAAACCAGGGACCTGATAGCCGAGTTATCACAGGTTTGGCGCGTTATCACGTTTCAGGTTCGAATTCCGGCGGTGCCATGGATGTATGTAGTGGTTCGGAATCTCCTTTAAGCTGTAGGTCCCGGTCTTACAAGTAGTAGAGCGTCACAGAGCCCAATCAGACTTATTCTCACCCACATCATTCCCAAACTGTAAAGGGGCAACTGAGCTCTAGGCACAGTGATGTGGTGTGGTGTAGCAATAGTCATATTAGACCGGTACTTATGGTTTAAAGTAGATTCCGAACCACTAAAAATATCCATGGCACAGCCAGAACTCGAACCCAAAACCTGTGGCACCGAGCGCTAGTCATTCGGTCATCAAGACCCTATGAGAAACTACAAGTAACCTATCTTTAATCCAACGAGCTTTCATTTATATTTTTGTTTCATATGGATTCGGGTTTTTGTTGACCTTGACCGCTAGATGGCGACACAATGTTGCTCGCATTCCTCAGATATTTATATCGTCTACTCAGGTTCAGCATGTATGTAAACACATCAAATATGTACGTGTTTCAATCGTCTAAATGATTACCCCCTTTTAAACTATATAGACTTCAAGTTCATGAACCCATGTGTCTTAAACCATGATGAGTCATGAAAAAGGATAAAAAATGCGTCTTCTTGTTGTCCTTATTTTTACGGCACAAAGACATTGCACACCAAACAGATAAGTCTGACTTTAACCCACCCGGCTATACCTCCAGGCACTGGATACCCATTTTAGTCGCCTTCTACGACATGCATGGTTATTCTAACTATACAGTGAGGCTATTCTAACCATACCCACATGGGGCTTTTATACGTAAAGAGGGGTGAGTGGTTTATATGATTATTCACCTTTAAACTATATAGACGCTCAATAATCCAGTAAGCATCACTAGTCAAGGCACGTCCGTGGTGCAGAAAGAACCGCATCGAAGAAAAGCTAACATGTACATTTTACATTTTTACAATAAAGATTAACACATTATTCCTAAAATACAAAATTCTGTTCAATTGAATTAGTCATTGTAGATTTTCAAGGATAAAGAAATTAGTAAATACGTAAGAAACTTCAAAAATTACCGAGCAATTTCTTCTCCAGTTTAAGTTATCTACGATATTCAGCTGATATATCATTTTTGATAGCAGCAGGACTGCAACCCAAATGGACATACAATGAGAGAAAAAGCTTTGCAGAGCTGGGAGCGGCAGGGCTACCACCACGAAAACAACAAATGCAAAAAAATGAATGGCACACACCTGAAAGGAAAGAAAATTTTTTTATTAGTTCTTTATTTTTATGATTTAAATAATATAATATAATAATGATAATAATAATTTTATACGATAAATTTAACGAATTCGTCATATTTATGAATATGAAATATTTTTGTGAAATTTATTATCTCGTGTGAAAGTAATGCAATCACTTGTGCAAGATCATAAGTCCTGGGGTGGAAACGATAAAAATAGTTGCTTCTGGATAAAATAAAGTATCATTAAAATATGATATGCAATCCTAATATAAATGAAAAATAAAAATCTCCCCCAAATTTTAAATTCAACATTTAATCAAACATATTATTATTCAAAGCCTGTAACCGTGGTTCCCTCTACGTAACCATCTTTCCTCCTACACAATGCAAGAGCACCCCTTGCGTCGTACAGAAGAAATCGTTATTAAGCACCCTGACTATATCGTGAGAGGACGCATGGCGCAATTGGCGAGAGCTAAAAGTGCAATCCTTCCACTAAATCTGTAATTGAATGTTTTTAAATATACATGCTGTGTGTTAAAATATTATTTGTTATTGTTTTTTTATCCCACTTGGCTGGCCAAGCCCACGAGCCCATACGTACTCATGATTGAAGGGGAAGGAAGCAGCTTCTGTTGTGATGGAGCACCCGTAGGTAGAAGTCTGACTTTGGCTCCATGGCGCTCTTACAGTCATAGGAGACCGGGACCTACGGCTTAAAGTGGATTCCGAACCACTACAAACATCCATGGCACCGCCGGGATTCGAACCCGAAACCTGTGACACTGAGCGCTAGACACTCGGCCATTCAGGTCCCAAATTTGTGAATGCCAACAGCACACAGTGTTCCCAGGTGGTCACCCACCCAAGTACTGACCGCGCCCAATGATGCTTGACTTCGGTGATCTAATGAGAACCGGTATATGGTACCAGCATGGTATGGCCGTTGGTATTATTTGTATGTAATTTTTAGTACTTGTGCGCGTCGAAATAAATGTTTTATTGGACTTGGGACTCGATTTGTCCATAACCAATTGAAGTTGCACAAACAAACGACAACGCATCTACTATAAAGCTTAAATTATGAATAATATTATGCGTTACATCAAGAAAAGTTTTCCCATTAATATATATAAAGATAAAGATATGATAATTTTTTAATCACATAAGGAAAAATTCTCAAGTTAAAAATTACACACTTTTTTTAGGAAAGAGAATATAAATAATATTTCAAATTATCCAAAACATATTCACTAAATATCAAGCAATTCAACATCAAGCACTAAACAAAGTACATTAATTAAAATATAACACTTTTTCTCCCTACATCAAACTGTAGCGATATCCGCATAAGAACTATCCATAGCAGCCCCATAAAATTTACTCTTGGTGAAGTTGTCAGAATTAAAAGTCAAAATCAAGTGCTGTGCATGTTGTCAAATGTAAAAAGTCCATGGTTTCACCTAACGAGCACAGACATCATGAGTAGCCACACCCATGCGGTGCAAGTGTTTATTAAGAAAAATCATGTCCTGTCGAGAGTCGGATATTTGCTGCAAAAACTGCACGGGGAAAGTCCATTGGGATGGGTGATGAAACAAGCATATTCCACGTTTCATCAGTTGAAAGGAGTTTGTTTTAAGGGTCTGTCTCTTTTCTTCTTTACCTCAGAACTAAATGGATGAAAGGATAAAGGAAACTGTGGCTGTAGCAACTTACAACCATTTTTTAAAAATATAACATAAGACAGGATGCTTGTAAGCTGTCACCAAAATAAATTAAAGAACTACACAATAATCAACCGTCTTTTGCTAAATATCAGTTGGTTGCACCGCTTAGATACGCCACGATCAACCAACTCACTGTGGGGGTGATGAGGGGAGGATAGCACCTTCCGAGGGTTTTAAGGGGTAACTGCTCCACATTTTGTTGCGTTATTGGATAAAATCTGGGAAGTCTCACCAGGCAGTCTGATATTTCTATTCGAGACGCTTTTTCACATATTGTCATAACTGCCATCGAGTCTCCTCGTTTCTGAAATTAGTGACTACACCAATGCAGCCTGCGGATTCGAACCTCGGTCCACCTGAAAGCTAGCTACATTCCCTGCCACAAGTACAAGAATCGGGCAATAATCAGCTATTAATTTAATTTATGAGTAACACAATTTTCTCAATTTCTTTTACATTTGTTACATGAAAACAAAAAAAAATCAACATCATATGACAATTTTTTTTTACAAAAATTTCCTCTGCATAATTGGTAATTTAATATAGTAAATTATAAATATTTTTATAATTAATTTTAATATTAAATAATATTGAAACATTTACACAATACGCAGATTTCTTCAATATAATATTTTATTAGTAAAAAATATATATATATATATACTTACATCATAAGCAGCCAAAATAAATGTGGATAGTAAAACAACTTTTATGATATGTATTTCTAATATTCTCCATAAAATTTCCGAAATGGACGTAAACCACTGTTGCACATCTTGAAAAATATTATCCAAACAAATTTTCACAGCCTTAAATTCTACAAAAGAAAAATATTTCTATAAATACTCCAAATAAATCAATAAAAAGTTAAAAATTGACAAAGAAATTTAGGACATGAAATATAAATACAGGGTTATGATACATAATTAGAGTCCCACTTTCAAAATGCTGTAAAAAAAAAAAGAAGCACTCGCCACACTGAGTTCCAATTTGACCTGAAAGATACTTGAAGGGGGAAACAGACAATATAAAAAAAATATATTCCAAAGTGCATAGATGGTCCTGTAAGCGGCCTAAAGAAAGGGAATTCAGTTGCCAATGATATTTTGAATCGAAATGACAATATTTGGCACGAGTTGCACATTAAACCCACTGTAGTGTTCAATGTGCTTGATTGTTTCGTTCTTTTTATGGAAAAATGACTTCCAAGTCATTCAACAGTTGTGACACTGTGAGTGGAAAGCCCATCCACCACAAGGTCATACCAAATTGGATGGGAAAAATCGGCGGAACTTTTTTTGATGCCATATCATTTCCCCCTTTTTCAAGTTTCTTCATTTCAAATTTGCATTCATTGTGACAAGTGTTTCGTTTTTTACAGCATTTTGAAAGTGGGATTTTAATTATAGTCACCCTGTAAATATAAAAGTTGTTTCTTACAGACATACTGCATCTAAACGTTTCATTTCAACATGACATTATATCAGGTGTCTTCAAACTTTTTTTCTTTCATTTTGACTTATATATGGGTTTATAGTTATTTACGCAACGAATGAACACTGCATTCTTTTCTAATGTAAACTTAATAGCGTACAGAAAAAAAAAATTTAAATAGAATATTTTACCTCTTTCTGCTCGATTGCTTTCAACTTCTTCTTTTAGAGTTGTTGGCGTTCCAAGTTCTGAAGTAGGTGAAGCAGTTCGTCTTCTATTCGGAGACTTGAGGTCGAGAGTTTTGGGGCATTCGATTTCATTTTCATGTTCAATAGTGATATGCGTCTCTGTACTGTCATTTGGTATATTGCTAGCAGTAGTAAGTTGTGTAGTATCAGCTATGTATTCACTAGAACTTAAAATAAAAACACAAAATTATACGTTTTATTAAAAAAAAAAAACGAGAATTAGATGAAAATTGCATGCTTTTAATTTCAAATTAATATTATACTAGTTAATTTAAACCTGCATATATATTATTATAAAATAAACATTAGTAAATTTTCAAAATTATTCATGCATATTCATTTAAACAAATAAAAATGAGATTTTGAAATAGTTGAATAACACATTTTATAATGAATTTTAAAAATTATATATCAATTATATTTTCAATGATCATGAAAGATATTCATGATATCATGAATTCATGATTTCATGAGATATTCATGATTTCATGATATTTTCAATGATCATATATATATATATATACAGTAACATCTCCTTGCTATGGTATTCGATAATTTGTCACATTCTATAGTCCAGCACCGATCGAGCCTTCACTTCCATATTTTTTTCGTATGGATTTGGGAAATTGTCGACCTTGATCGCCAGATGGCGACACAATGCAGCTCGTATTCATCACATATTTATATCGTCTACACAAGTTAAGAATGAGCTTCAACACATTAAATATGTACATGTTTTTAAGTGTTTAAAATTTTGTCTACAGTGCTTTATCTTTGGTATTTTCTTTAAAAACAATATCCCACTTGAAAATCCGGCAAAATCGCACATCCAGCACGGCCTTGGTCTAGAACGCGCCCGATTAAAGACAGATTACAGTATACGTCAAAATGTCATTGTATTAGTCATGTTTTTAATGAAAATGTTTAAAGTTCGTTATAAAATTGTTACTCCACTGCTTAATAATCGCGGTTTTTTTTTTCTTTGTTTAAATCAATGGTTCTCAAACTTTTGAAGTCAAAAATTTAAAAACCTAAGCGCACTGCATACTGCTATTAACGCCTCACAGTTTCATATCCAAAGGGTCAATTCCACAGACTACTTACAGACGGAGGAGTCTCACAAGCTGCAATGGAAATTCTTTTAACATTGAAAATCGCATAGATGCTGGAGCTTCTAGTAGACAAACATGGAAGAGATCATTCCTAGTTTCTTGGAAATATTATTTGGTGCACTATTGTTTATGTGGCGACTTTTTATCTCAAGAAAGCATGAAAAGAAAAAAAAAAAAAAATCTAGATAGGTTAGTTGTTTGTAATGAAAGTTATCTTTGAATGGGAAAACCAACAAGAAAAATAGTAACTATATTCATTTTTGTATCTGGGCACATATTTCTCTGAATACCACAGGGCATACCCAGAAATCTTCTAAGGTGCACCCTTTGAGAACCACTGGTTTGAATCAATATACATGAAATATTTTGAAAATTCAATAATGTTAAGCTTTCAGGTATTAAGCGAAAAAAAAATAAAATTTAAAATAACTAAAAACTTACTTTTAGAATTAAGAATAAAATCAATTTATTTTTTTCATGTATAATAATAATGATATTTATATTATATTTTAATATTATATATATAAAAAATAGAAATAAAATTTTTTATTTAAAACAAAATTATTGTGTACTTACCGGTAGTGAATATCGCTAATAAGAAGGAAGTCTTTGTGAAAGTAATGTAATTGGATTATAGTTATGATCAAGAAAAATGTTGGCGTAAGGAGCTTCACAAATAATGTACCAGTATCAGAATCATAAAGTTCTAAACCCAAATCCCTTTGTCTGAAACAGAAAGGATTAGAAGGATAAAATAAACAAATATTTCACTTTTAATATTACATAAATAATCAATGGAATAGTTTGGACCCAATAAGCCAATAAAATAAAAAAAAAATACTTCAGCAAAAAATTGCTCATAATAATTCTTTCAAAAACATTACATAATTTTTTTTTCACATTTAAAATAATTTTTTATTTTAATTGTATCACACTTATTTTGTAATTAATCAATAAAAATAATTTTGTGGTTTTAAAAACATTTTTAGAATGTAAGAAACTATCATAATTTATTAATTAAAATCGTAAATGTTTTAATATTAATTTACTGAAATAAAAATAAAAGAATACAAAAATTTTTAAATAAATAAATAAATAAAATTTTTTATTAATAAAAATATCTAAAAATCGCATAGATACATTAAATATTTATTTATTATTAAAAATATTTAATAAAATATATTAAATAAAAATATTTACTCATATATAATTTAACCCAGTATAAGTTTTTATATGTTTCCTGTAATTTATCTTATAATATTAAATTTAAAAAAATCCTATCTTAAAGGACACTATTTTGAAACAATTCGAGATATATATGAGAAATTTTTAGGGGGAAAATAGAAGCATAATTGTATTTTAAATACATTAATTTGTTATATCATTACAAATGTATATCTGTTCATTCACATGCAACGAATTT